GAAGAAACAGTTAATTAAAGGCCAGGTTCTGAGCACCTCTATCTCTTTCAGGTCATTACAGCCACATCTAGGGAACACACTCAATTTCATTGAAAGTTCCTCCTTTCTTTGCTGTCAGCATCTAAGCTTAGTTGGCCTTAGGCTCCTCAGAGCCTCATGAGCTTTCCCTTCACTTCGTCAATGAGCAGTTTTCTAGGCACAGGTTAAAGAGCAGGCTGCTGCTTGCATAAGGAGAGTTACTGCGGAAACATCAATACGCCAGACCGTCTGGAGGAACCGCAACTGGCTCAGCAATCATGTCTCCTGACAGTCCCCACCACTTTGTCACACAGTCCCCACCATCCTAGTTACTTCTAACATGGGCTGGAGCCCCTCTCCTTGAAGACCCTCAGTAAGGTACTCATCTATACCAAACAAGACAGCAATATCTCAGTGGGACGCCAACAACCTGCATCTGGAATGAAGCTCAGGAAACTCAAAACTGAAATGTTCCATGTATCCCACTTTACAGAAGGAGATAAGGCTGAACTAGCAGTATTGAGAGAACCAGCATCCACAGGGACCAGCGTGGCTGATCCTAGCCTTCATTTAGATACTGTAAAGCAGGCGGATTCACTGGGGCAGGCCAGGAGTCCTCCACTTAGCAGGGAGGAGGCACATGGGTACGCTGCCATGAGGGAATGTCCCATGACAGCCGCAGAGCGGATGCAGTGAAGGCAAGAACAGGGTTTGGAAGGGACATCAGAAATGCCAACGGTCTGTGTGAAGGAGTTAAAAACGTGGGAAAAGGAGGCCTGGGGTCATGGCTGAAGGAGAACAAAAGCAGTCTATGTTTTCTTCCCTGGGGCCTGGAGTTCTGGTGGCAGAGGCATTCTCTAAATTCACCAGTCCGTAATTTTGTTGTCCATATTTGGAAATATATGGGCCACATGATCTAATTTAATTTCCCATATCCATATTGTTGAATGAATGATATGCCTTGTCAGGATGCATTGAAAGACACCCTACACATTCCTGTTGTAAATACATGACTATAACACTGAGGTGTCTCCTAAAGCCTGGAAAGTTGGTGTTTCTACCACCGCTCATGTATTTAGACTGACTGCTAAGTTGTGTGTGATTCTACTCATTTTCTGTGGAGGGAATTAGCTTATTGTCCCTCAGAGTAAACGCAACATTTACCAGTTATTATACGTGAATTCTGGAATTCACAACATTTAACAAAATTTGTATAAATCTATCTGCAGGAAGCAGAGCTAAAGATTTGTTGCTGGATCAACCTGTCAGTATTGAAATGTCTAAAGAGACACTAAATACACTGTAATTGTTCCTCAAAGTCCTCAGTTGTCCTCAAGCACAGTAAAAACCTTTCAGTGAGTGATTCAGCTGCTCACAAACAGTTACCCAGTGCCATCCCATACATCCACGTAGGGTTCGCAAAACATTCAGGTGGGACTGATAGAGAGGACACAAAGAGGGTCCCCTGCTTTTCCACAGCAGCAGCTAGAGACCAGACAGGACATGTCAAAGAGCACTAGATGGCTTCATTTAGCAGATAACTGAGCTGCCAGTGTCTGTAGTAACTGCATGGACAGGAATTTTGTATCTATTGGCTTTAATCATCAGGCCCAAACGAGAGCAGCTGTTTTAGAAGGATGTAGAGATGATCTAAACCTCCAAAAACATTCAGTTTGAATGCAAAAAGAGCTTTTAAGGACAGCGCCTAGCAGGCTGCAGCCTTCTGTGGCTCACAAAGCTCTGAGAGCAATGGCAGCATCTTTATGAAGTGCCTCATGGCACAGACGCTGTACCTTGTAAAGGTAAAAAACTTGCAGATCCTGGGCTGCTGCTTTTTTGCGGAGATCTTTCCAGTACTTCACTTTAATCACTTAAAATGTGCAAAGTGCAAGTCTAGCATCAACCACTTAATAATAGCTTGTCTTGTTCCTTTACTGCCCTCTCCTCTGAATGCTGTTTAAAAGCGGCATCTATAACATCAATATTTAACCACGAGGCTTGCTCATTCTCACAAGGATGGGGATTGCTGTACATGTGGGCTAAATCACAGTGCCTAGACAGCTGATAATAATGAAAGCATCTTTCAAGATGAGGCACTTGATTGCTAATCTAAAGCTTGCTGGTGAAAGGAATGTGTAATCTATTTTTTTATTGCATTTGAAATGAAATAACTTATTTAAATATTAGTCATCTGGATTTATATAGTTCATTTTTAGAACTGGGTTAGCACCTGGCAATCCAGCCTGAGTAAGCACCAGGCTATCCCAGTCGCAGGCCCATTTGATTTCTCTTTCGTCTTTTTGCCATGTGTGACAGACCTCTTTTTTTCTGATATGATTTCCTTCCCACTTCACAGGAGAGAAATCCACATACTCAGACCAGCTGCCTGACAGCAGCCCGGGGAGGGGAAGCAGCCTGGCAGCGGTGCCCTCCCCCTGGCGCAGCTGAGCAGCAGGGCTGGTCCCTGTGCCGGCACTGCTCTGCCACGTCTTGTGTGGGTAAGAGCAGCTCCCTCAGGGCAACGGGGTACCCCAGGTACAAGAAAACAGAGCAGCAAAGTACTTTATTCTGACTGTGAGACAAAGATCAAGGGAATTTTCAATATTACTGTCCGTGACATTTTCCTGAACATTGAAAGAGATTTTTCCTGCTATAAAAACCCTTCATCTCTGCTTTCCAAGCTGTCTTTGTACTTCCTTTCCCAAGTGTTTCACTGTTGGTTTTTTCCTGCCTTTGCCTTAAATTTCTGCAGTGTGGCACAAATACGAAGCACGCTCCTGGCAGGAAACACAGGAGAAAACACCGCCTGTCCTCTGCCTGTCTAAAAGCTGTGCAGAAGCCTTCTTTGTGTCTTCTGCACATCTCGGGATGGTGCTGATAAAGACAAACAGCCAAATGATGCTACCTAATGATTTCTTTTCCCTTGGGGGAAGCACTGAGAAGGATACTAGATATACTTTGCAACATTGTTCCCAGGGGAGTTTATCTAAGCAGGGTGAAGAATTAATAGGCAGCCTTTTAGGGAGAGATAAATTTGCAAAAATATAGAAGCGTTAAGGAGATTTGCTGGAATACCAAACACCTGGGACCTAAAATGGACATGGGTCCAGCCCATGTCCCTGCACCCAGCCAGCGCAGGTAGCACCGGCGAGCTCCATCCCACTGCGGAGGGACTGCCTCTCTGGGGACCACCAGCACAGCTATCGCTCTCCAGAAAGGATCTATGTGTCAGGGATCACAGGAATACTGATGTGGAAGGAAGCTGGCAGAGATAGCCAGCAGGAACTGCAGGCACAAGGTGTGGCGGACATGGGGATGCAGGGCTGGAAATTAGGAGGAGCTTGGATGGGCTCGATAAGGCTTGGGAGCACTGATTTGTATGAAGAGAAATAGATGAGTCTTAGCCTGTATGTGCATTAGTGGGAAAACTGCTCACTTGCCTTTGACTCCTAACATGCCCCTGACTTTTGTTACAGTTGTAAGCATTTTAAAACCAGCGAGCCTGACTCACTGCTATGGTGAACCAGTAGAGCTCCAGCGTCTTGAAGACAGCCAAACCTGCAGGATGGTCTAGGTAGAGTGTTTGAATTTTTGCCTGCTTATAAATTAATTTGCCTCGGAGCACCCAGACCTCCAAGCTGCACACCTGGTGAAACAGGAGGTCATGTAACTCAAGGGGATGTGCTGCGCTATGTCTCTGTAGGAAAGCATTTTCCAGGGCTAAGGCATTAGCGAACCATTTAAAGCTAGGGAATCACATATAATACAATGAAAGGAGGGAATTTCTCTGGCTTTCCTCCAAAAGCCAAGCATTATTCACTGATCAGAAAACAGATCTCCATCTCTACTAAGAACATTTTTTCCTCCATTTGCTAAGTGGAAAATGACAAATGAGCTAGCTGTGCCCTCTCTCACATCCTTTCTCCTTCCATCTAACCAGGCGTCCCCGTCACTTCGCCCTCCCTCAGTGCACCACAACCGTACCAGCGGCTACTTACTCGGCACCACTAGCAACCTCGGGGGTGGTGGCGGTGGAGGAGGTGGTGGTAATGGTGGAGGTGGCCTGCACTGGCAAATTTGCTGGCAGCTCTCTGTGACTTTCTCTGCTACAGGCTTGGAGCATGACTTCTGGGGTTCACCCTGAGTGATCTGTGAAGAAACAAGTCATTGCATGAGCAGCAGAAACAGTGAAAACTGATTTTCCATGCATGTGTTTCTTGGACTTGAGTACCCGAGCGGCACCTCAGGCCTGTAGTAAGAACTGAGCTCATGTTCCTGACTAAAGGCAATCACAAGGAGGTCTCTTCCCTATATGGTCCCCATTTTTTATTTTTTATTTTTTATTTGTTTATTTAACACAGTATCTTCAAGACTTCTTTCCACTGTCAAATTTGGTTGAAATTGGCCAGCTGGTTTCTGAGTTATTATGGGGTAAGGAAAAGGCAGGTAGTGGCAGACAATATGATTGCGTAAGCCTTCTTTTCTTAGGAAAGCCATCCAGCAGCATGCATCATTCACAGGGTCATTGCTGCAAGCCAAAGAGAGCTAATAAAAATTACAAGACGGTTAGGGTCAGGATTATGTTAATTTTCCTTATGGCAGAACTGAATGCCAGAGATCTCTCCTCTGCTTTGCCAGCCTTGCTTTGATGTTCAGAGAGCATTTCACAGAGCGTTTCACTTCCCACCAAGAGGAGAGGGAGCCCACATTTTACTCATCTGCGGACCACAGCAATGACACGGTCAAAATGGAAATGCCACAAACTGTGACTTGTAGCCTCCATAACAAGCAGTGTCGGCTAGTAATAAAGCTGAAGATAAGGCACTGCAGAACCCAAGTGTAGGCATCGCTTGGCCATGGACAATGATTTAGCCAGTATTGGTATACAATATATTCAATAGCTTGATCTAGTCCTAACAAGGACCATTTATTAAAAGCATATGTTTCTTATCATCAGTAATATTTACATGACTAGGGATTTAGGGGATATTCAGTAAAATTCCTAATCTGATGCTACAAAATGAAGAGGAGTAAGTCCCTAATGAAAAGGAAATTTGCTGAACATCGCAGGAGCTTCTGAGAGTTGTTAACTTCAGAGGTCTCTAAGCCAGCTCTTTTTGAATGGACTGATACTCAGATGAAAAATACTGGATACAATTTTAAGGAGACAAAGCTTAAAAGATGAATATGCATGTTATCTAACATGTACTTTGGATGTAGGATTAGGAGACCACCTGGGACACACTTGTGTCTTTCTGAAACTAAGGATAGTTATGCTAGCATTCAACTGTTGCCTTGTACAGTTTGGTCTTGAGCAGGTTATTGTCCTAATAGTTTTGGCCTAATATCATCTTATTTAATTATCTCTTTTCCATGACATGTTGGTCATTACAAAGAGGATGTCTCATGCCATGCTTTCTGACATGTTTTAGGCAGGCCTCTTCTGCCTCCCTGCCTATCCCCAGGCTCACCCAGGGTTGCCTTCTCCCCCCCTCCTCTCTCCTGCCCAAGCTTTGCTTCCCTTCCCCTGCCAGCTCCAGGCACACAGTCTGTCTCCTCTCCCCTTTCAGCCCTAGCCCACAGCCCACAGCACAGCCAGCAAGCCTCTCCCACCACCCACAGCTGGGCACCAAGGGTGCTGTGCTGCCTCTTGGCTGCAGGAAAGCTGTACAGTCATTTCATGTATTTCTGTCCAAAAAGAGAGACGTGGCTAATTAAAACAACATCACTGCACAAAGGACATGTTCACATGCGTAGGAGGTTTCTAAATGCAGAAAGATGCATTACTCTGGCCTCAGGGAAATGGAGGTAGGGCTTTGTTGATTAAGTATCATAGAGAGGGAGGAAAGAATAGAAGAGGCTACACGTAGCTGAGTTGGAAGGATGGCTCGGCACAGCACAAGTCAGAAGGCTCAGTTCTTTAAACAGCTTGTCAAAATCTATTACCAAACATAGGGAAAAATAAATTCAGCACAAGTGCTTTCCAACTTTCCCCTTCACCATCAGGTAACAGTAAGCGGATGGTTAAAGACCATCCCAGACAGTTTCCAGGAACTTACACAAACTCTCTGAATGCTCTAAGGAATCAAAGTGACTTGGCTTCGTAGTCCCTCATGGCTGGTAATAAATCTGTCTGCTACGCAGGCTTATTTATTTTTCAAGTAAGTGATCACAGGCAGCAGAATATCCTCCATGCCGTCTCAGCTCTCCTAGTGCTCTTCACACGCGAGTTGGGGTGTTGGGGACTCTCCCAGGAGGAGCCCTGTAGGAAGAGCGCCTGCTCCATGCGGTGGCAGTGGCACACCTGGGGTACCTCCCAGTTGTACCGGTGTGACAACATTTACTGTGCTGACAGAGGAGGTAGGGTAACATCTCTCCACTGGCCCCGGCAGCTGATTAGGAAGCAACTATTAACTCCTAGCTACAATTACCATCCCCTACCTAGTTCCCTGGTTGCTGAATCCTACAGCTCGCTACAGTCTGGCAGGAGTCAGTGCAACGGGAGAGGATAGAGACAGGGAAGAATAACATCGAGCAGACTTGGAGCCAGCTTCATTTGCAGACCAGAAGCAGCTTTCTGTATCTAAGTCTGAAGACAGTGCTGGTATGGAAAAGCTACATTGCTCTAACTCTACATTGCTAGTTATTGCTCTAACTTAATACCAACCAGAACCAAAGGCTTGCTTTTTTTTTTTTTTAGAACTATTGACTGCTTTTAAATCCCTGGAGGCTCTCCTACCTTAGGCTGGTAATAAAGTGTCCTCAGAAACCAGTGGATATTTTTCTCAATTACTTTGCAGACAGGATTAACCCTATTCATGCCCAGCTACTCCCTGCTCCCATGTACTTTTAAAATATTATTTCTGGAAAAAAAAAAAAAAAGTTGCTTTATCTCTCAATACCTTAGTCTGAACCTTTATCTAAATTCCCCATGATAATTTTTAAATGGTTGGGAAAGAACTGACATTTAAAAGCATTTGTTTCCCTTCTCTTGTCACTCAGCAAAATGTCTGGTTGTTAGAAGATACCTGTAGGAACACAGATATTACCTTGCCAGGGGTTTGTCTTAGAGGGTTGGTTTAAAATAACAAAGATATTGCAAGTTGGCTGAAATCTGTCAGGAAAAGGAAAGACCCAAATCGAGGTTGAGGGCCTCGAGGAGGAGAAAAATAGTCAAGGACTGCTGCAAGAAGATTAACTAACAGTAGCGAGATAGAATTAAGAAAAAAAGAAAAAACATTTGGCTCCTTTTCAAGAAAAAAAAAATCCCACTGTTGATGTCTATTAGTCTTCTTATGAAAGGAATGAAGGCTATTACTTGTGTCTTCTAAAGGTAAGCAGAACAAATCACTAGAATATATGCTTTAGGGGACAATCTTGTTCTGGCAGAGGATGATGAAATAAATTGCTCCATGTTTCTTTCTTACTGTCTGCAATTCAAGGTAAGCTGCCTTTACAGGAGATGGCAGGAGAAAGAAGGCATGTTGAAAGAGCCTAATCTTTCTCTGCCCAGGTCTGCTAATTCAAGCCCAGCCTCAAACTTTACTGCTTGTTTGTTCTGCGGGACACTACCACAGCCCCAGAATGGCTTTGGAATCACTTCGCAGATAATGACTAACCAGACACCCACGGGGCTACCAGGCAGTTTGTAGCACAGAGGTTGCCTTGGCAAGGGGTCATCTCCGGAGATGGACCACACGGGGCTTGCTCCCTAGTTGTTACTTCTGCACCTTCCAGCCATTCCTCCAGGTCCTGGAGGTGCCGTGAACACGTGTCTCCTCGGCCTGTCTAAAACTTGGTTGCTTGTTTGGCATGAAGCTTTCTTAACACATTCAGCAGTTGGCCAGTTGGGACATATATGTTTCCTCGACTTGAAGCTGATGCATTTTTTGCCCTGCTCTGAAAATACATAGAGTTGACTTTATAGATTTGTGCATTTGATATGAACATGCTCTGCAAAAAGGACAAATGTTTTTAAATATTCATGGAAATGAAAATCTGATCCACAAATGTCCAGGGAAAAGCAAACAGAACGTGGGAACTGGTGGTTTCCTTTTGCAGTCTCTCTGTTGAAGTCCGTGCCTGTGACGTATTTCTTTTTAATCCGAGATTTCCTTCAGAAACAGTGGTCCTAGTCCTGCTTTGCATAGAGTGGAAGAATAAATCTGCATGTGGTCAGAGCTGTTTAGTATTTCAGTAGAGTCCCATGGGGTTGCAGCAATCCACGAGCATGCTCTACAGAGGGGGGTGGGAAAAGAGGATTAATACAGTCCCCGGAGGGTGGCCCTTTTGTGACTTTTTGAATCAGGTAAAAGGAGGAAAGCTTGAAAAGAAAAGTGCAGTTGACTGAAAAGGCACAGAGACCTCTAAAAGCCTGCTGATGTGGCAAGAGCTTTGTCTCTTGGAAGCAGTCTACAGAGATGAGATCTCAACACCGCTGCGTAAACCCCAGGACAGCTCTGCATAATTCACATCAGAGTTAATCCAGATCCATGTTTATAAAACCAGAAAAAACGTGACCCTGCTATTTATCATGACACTTACTGCTCTTTTTTTTAATTATGTCAAAAGCCTCAGACAGAATCGTCCCTTCCTTCTTGTCACAGTGCTGGCTACGACACTAATAAGAAAAGATTGTGGGGCTTGGTTTGGTTTTCTTTTTTTTTTTTTTTAATAAGATAAATGCTTCTCCTCTGATTAGCATCTGACTGATTCTCTTAAGTGCCTCAAGGCAGGGCCTGAGGAGGGAATGCAAAGATGTGGGAGGGAAGGCCATGCCACACACAAGTCATCGCACGGACGAATGGGGGAAGAGGGGCTGGGAGAAGAGACGCAAGAAAACACTATGGCTGCTATAGATGGAGCAGGAGCAGGGGAGCGACATGGTGGGACATTACTGACTTAGTCGAGGAGAGTATGGCTTGTGAGACTTTGAAGAGAAGAGCAAGGATTATGACTCAACATGGGGAAGGGAGTCACGGGAGGGACTCAAAGATGAGGGAGTTTCAGTCACAGGAAGGCCGGCACGCTGGTGAGTGCTCCACACCTGACCTTCCCATTGGTACCTGCTGATGGGAGCCTTAGATACATCCTAGTTTTGGGAGAGCTGGAAAAAAGCTTGAGTATGAGCAGATTTATTGATTGCCCTTCCA